ACATGACCCAACATCCAAAAACACACATCACTGAGACTGTCATCGATGTTTGTGTTGTGTGTGTGTGTGTGTGTGTGTGTGTCAGCACATCATCGCTAAACCACAGTGTGATGGGTAAATGACTGGTTTCGATGCTACCAGGGGAAATTCCCCGGTCAGATTATACACAGATCACTTTTCATGCGGGTATAGGTTTTAGTCAGATGTTGCTTTTTTATTGTGGCTCGCATTTAAGTATGCGCATAGCTGTACGAGATCCCAAATATCAAAATACACACTCCGACGTGCACTCCCAGAGCAAATGACAAAGATTACCCGGATGTCTCAGTCACTGACTAAACTTTAGTGTGCGTGTGTGTGTGTGTGTGTGTGTGTGTGTGACATTCAAAACTCTTATCTGTTTGACCTGTTTCCCCAAAGAAAATCGATGAGTTGAGTAAACATAATTACGGAAAGCACACCATTTTTTTATACTGCTCTGGCTTATTAATCAGTCCAACTTTGCATTATTCATATGATGCATGCAAAGCGCCCTTTTAGAATGTTCAACTGCATGTAGGGATTAATCATTTAAGATAGAAGTCAGTTGCTTTATGGTTTGCATGGACATTTTATGCAGTTCCATGTATCACTTTCTCTCATATGGCTCAACTTACTAAAAGTGTAAACCTGAAACTCAGTGTTCTATCCTCTAAAGCTAAAGCAAGGTCAGGCGCAGTGAGAAATGGATGGAAGGGATCCTTGAGGAGCCCCGTTTGCGATTGATGACTAAAGATAGGGAGTGACTGTCAACCTGATTGGAACAAGAGGGCTTTTACCTCTTTGTAGAGCATTGGCTGATAAGGGGAGAAATAGTGACACCATCACTACAAGTAGTTGAGACACAAGAGAGGCTTGAAGCTTGAGTGTCTCATTCTTAGAAATTTTTTTCCTTTCAAATTTGGCACTAGAGGTCCTGGTGCGGCCACTTGAGAGAGACAAATCTGATAATCAAGTGAGGTATAGCAATTTCAAGGTTGCAGAGACTGCAATCATGATTTTATTCATTTAACATATTGAGAGAAAAGAGGGTCTCTAAGATTTTTTCTACTTGCCTCCAATATAAAGATGAAAAATGCGCCACATATAGTCTCAAAGTTTAGCAGCCTGTGCGCTCAGCGTAAAATATTCTCAACTTTCTTGGTTCACCAGTCTTTTTAAGGCCATGAGAAACTATTTCAGTGCATCCGTATCAGCCCTGGAGAATCAACAAATCACTGGATCAGATACTGAGAGGCAGATTTCCACCCATAATGCCTTGGTTAGTACAACCAGGCTCAACAGTTACTCCGTTCAAACACAGTTTTTGCAGCCATTAAACCAAGGAGCAAATGAATAATGACATCCTGCATCATATTACCCCGAAGCCTTCAGCCTATGACAACAGTATGTAATCGAATAAATTACGTTCCATTTACCCAAGAAGCCATTAATCCCAGTTTAATGGGTTGGCTTTCCATCTAAATTTCGATTAAATAGCCTGTAATACCCAGTACCTCTAAGGATTGCGGCATGAGATCTTCTCTGAAGTGTGCGCTTCGCCCTTTGCAGGCACAAGTTTAATACTGTTACAGACTGCATATGGCTTGCTTAACAAAAAACTGTCTAGTTTCCTTTATCCAACAATATCTGAAGATATACATATCTTTTACATGTAGAGTGTTTCTTCAATAAACGACAATGCAACAAACAGTAAATGCTGTCTTCCATGAAGTGTGTGCTGAGCCTGGAAACAGGTTTGAAGACTGTGACTGAATTGTGTAATGCCAAAGCAGGACGGTTCAATAAGCCTCTCTAATACCTTTTTTAAAAGGGATGCTTGATTTCAGAGGTGTTTTATGTTAGCCTGCCATTACCCTGGAGGACGGAGGACCACAAGGGCAAGGACAAAGCATGCTTTGGAAGAGTAATTCATACTTGTAAAGGAGAAAAGAAAGAGACCAGAAATGTATATATGTAAATATATATATATATATATATATATATATTCATGATCTTGAAAACCATCACTATATTAAAGTGTAGATTATGATACATCACTTTAGGTGTATGAGAGTACTGTACTTAAAGAACTTTTGTTTGTTGTTAGACTGCCAGAACAAGCACACACTAGCACATAGCAGACACACCCCGAACATATTCTCATAACAGCTTTGAGCACTCAGAAATGTAAAATGTGTAATCATCTTCAGTGAAAGATTACATTTCAAAGACACATATTAAGTCTCTTTCTTCTCATTGAGCTTCAAATAAACAATAACCCCACCTATAATTAGAACCTAATATCATAACTGCTGAGGAGAGCTACGCAGACACACTGATGCATGTGTCATTGTCTTTACTTAGTCAGAGCTGTTCGGAGTGGATTTGTTCATCCATCCATGTGTGTCAGAATATGACTAAAACAATCTTTATATGTGTCTGCAAAAGTGTGTTCTTTGCATTTGTGCATCAAAACTTATTGTGTGTGCCAAAGTGTGCTCTCTAAGGGAGTGTCTGCCTCCCAGAGAGTGTTATGTATCTAATTGCTGTATACTTAAATAATTTACATTCTCTACTCTCTTATGCCCATCATTAGGAAATGAAGGAATTAGTCTCAGCCGCAGTGGCTGATGAAGGTAAATGTGTTTTAACACACAGGATTGCCTCTGTTTGCGCGCACCAGTTATTGTTAGCTCATACATCCTCAATGAAGTGTGTGCATGCAGTTTGGAAAGGTTATGCTGCTGTTTTGTTCGTGTTTGGGGCTATCACTGCACATCTCTCTGAATGTGTGTGTACATGCATGGCCTTGTGTGTTCTCTGAACCTCCCACGACCATTACGGTAAGTGTACATTATTCATTGTGGGCTGCCAAGATCATTATCAACAAAGAGCAAAGATGCACTGGAGGAAATGAAAGGCTGGAGGAGCAAGTTCACTTTGCTTGGACAAATAAATGGCACAACGCTCCACCTTTCGTCGCCAGCTACAGCCGAACCTGCCTACATGGTAACTTGTTCCTTAGTAACTATCTACCTAAATGCAAATGCTCATCCTTTTTTCCCTTTAAACCACTTTTAACAATAATATTTAAACTTTGTACAGATTAAATGTGATCAGTCATCATGTGCTGCAAGTGACACCCTCCTGTAGCAAATTGTGGGAGGCTTTGCTTCATTTAACCCCAGAGGACAACCTGGCACAACAGACACATTTCTAAAAATGTCTATATCTCAATAAAAATTGGATTCTAAATTAACAAGATAAACTTGAATCGGGATGACTGAGCTTGATTTAAGTGTGTATTTATTTTTGTTCAAGCAAGTGAATGAAAACTGGTGCAAATTGCTTCTTTTTTATCGTCAGTACTTTAGGCGTAGTTTCCTCGGAAACATACAAAATTTGGAAAATTCAAACTTGCTTCATTAAGAAAAAAGAAAAAAAAAGACACTCCATGTCCACCAACAGCTACAGAAAACAGCCTTGTTAGTGCAACAAGTCATCTGAAGAAGAACGATTAAAAACATACAAACAAAAAACTTCTGATTCTTTTCAGTATAATCAAATTAAAATATCAGGAAATATAAAGTTAACTGATTAAAATTGTTAAAATATAC